TGATTGATGATTGATGAGTGATTGATTGATGATTGATGAGTGATTGATGAGTGAATGATTGATGAGTGATTGATGAGTGATTGATGGGTGATTGATGGGTGATTGATCTCCTGCTCTGTGTCTCTCAGGTGTATCAGCAGCAGTCACTCGCTCTGACAGAGTTCAGTCCGGTCAGAAGAAGAAAAAAATCAAAGAGAAAGAGGAAGTGCTGCTCAAACTGGAGGTGAGAGACCCAGAGACCAAACTAATCCTGGAGAACCAGCATTCTGGTTTTTATGCTCCACATATCTTTACATTGACCAAACATTTCAACCTTAACTAAACACTTCCACCTTAAGCAAATAAACATTTCCACCTTAAAATGTGAACAGGTTTTCCCCACTGACCAGATGCATATACCTACATTTTTGAGTGTAGTTCTTATATAATTCTACCTTAACCGATAATTTCCACCTTAACATTTGTGTCAGACTCTGGAGAAGAAGGAGGAGCGGGGCAGCTCGGGGGAGGAGGAGGAGGAAGGAGAGGAGAAAAAGAAAAAACAGGAGGATGAGGAGGCTGAGGGAGAGGAGGAGTACGATGAGGAAGAGTTTGAGGAGGTGAGATTTCTAATAAAATGTGTTTTTTATGAATGAAGTTTGGTTTGCTCAAGTTCATCACAACAAATGTTCATGTATATCATATGTATATAATACATATACAAGACACTTATTAATGTGTAACACACTTATTAATGTGTAATAAATGTGCAATAATACACTCATTAATGTGTAGTAAATGTGTAATCAGACGCTCATGAATGTGTAGTAAATGTGTAATCAGACACTCATTAATGTGTAATAAATGTGCAATAAGACACTTATTAATTTGTAATGTGTAATAAATGTGCAATAGGACACTCATGTGAAGTGTTTTCTGTGTGCAGGAGACGGACTACGTCATGTCGTACTTTGATAACGGAGAAGAGTTTGGAGGCGACAGTGACGACAACATGGACGAGGCTATTTACTGAAACACCAGCACATCTGTTTTTATCAGCATTTGATCACTTTTTACAGGATTTTATCAGGTTGCTGTGAAACCGTCCAGCAGCTGTTTGACAGTTTAAACTTTTATAACCTGACTGAATGATAGTTGATGTCCAAAGACTGTAACAGAAAAGGAATCATGGGAAAACCCTCGGACGTCAGGCTGCATCTTTGAAATGTTTTTTAAGCTTTTGTATCAATGTTCTAAATGTTTTGTCATCGTTATCATGTCTCTTTGTTTTGGCTGTTGGACAATAAACTGCAGCTACATGAGGAGTTCAGGCTGTGTTCAGTATAACAGACTAATTAACATTCAGTCAGAGGATGATCAATAGTTCACAATAAATCAATCACAAATAATCACACAATTCAATTTTATTTGTATTGCACCAATTCATAACAGAAGTTATCTCAGGAGACCCAACAGTTCCCACCATGAGCAAGACCTTGGAGACAGCGGCAAGGATAAACTTCCTTTTAAGAGGCAGAAATAACAGACAGACCCTTCGGCTCTAGGTGGGTGGGAGAGAGAGAAACGGACAGACAGGTGCACAGCAACAACAGTAGCAACAACTACACTAATAGTGACTGATGATGATGATGAACATGAAGAAGATAATCACAACTACGACAACAACAATGGAGGACAATGAGCAGTGATTATAGTAATAAAAGTAACTGTAGTAATAATATTAATATTAATAACAATTAAAGCTGCAAGCAGCGATGAGCGGGCCCTCACACTTCACGCAACTCGGGGTGTGCACAAAATTTCGCGGAAATCAGATCATATTCGCAGTGCAGGGCTTACTTCCTGCTGCCAGTAGGTGGCGTTCTCACTATATCTGAATATTGTCATGTAGACGTGTTCAGGGCGGGACTCTTATCAAACGTGTGAAGTTTCATTGAGATTGGACCATGTACACTGAAGTTGTGAGGACGTGTTCAGGGTGGGACTGTACACTGAAGATAGGAGTACTATGTTTTATGGCCAATCGGCGGAATTCGACACGCAGTTAAACGTACAGTCACAAGTAGCACAACTTTTGATCACCAATGTGTTTAAATTGCAGTGATCGAATTTGAAGTCAATGTGATAAAATCTGTAGGAGGAGTTAGTTAAAACAGAAGCCCTTAAATGCCGGAAATGGCTGACTTTGATGCCACGCCACGGACACGCCCTTTAATGTACATACACAAATAGCACAACTTTTAATCAGCAACATTTTCTATCTGTCCTGACGTAGATCCAATGAATTCCCTAGGAGGAGTTCCTTCAAATACAACACAAAAAAATGCCGAAAAAGGCTGCAAAATTCAACGTGGCCAACTTTGACGGCACGACACAAACACGCCCTTCAACGTACATAGACAAATAGCACAACTTTTAATCAGCACCATTTTTTGACTGTACTGACCAATTTTGAAGCAGATCCGATAAATTCCCTAGGAGGAGTTCGTTCAAATACAAGGCGAAAAATTCACCAAAAATGACCACGGAAGTCAAAATGGCCAACTTTGACAGCACGCCACGGACACGCCCTTCAATGTACATGCACAAATAGCACAACTTTTAATCAGCTTTTACTTGGTGTCAATTGGAAGAACCAATGTGGAGAAATGGTCCAATTACTTTTTTGATGAAAAATCTACAGGAAGTGCTAATTTTATAGCGTGCTTATTTTTTTTCATGTAAATCAGGCCAAAATTGCCACTCAGCGCTTACTTCCTGTTGCCAGTAGGTGGCGCTCTCACTATAGCTGAATAAGAGAAAAGAGATGACATTTACTAATGCTAAAAAGATAGACAATAAAATA